TGCATCAGAAAATGTAATAAAAATTTGGGGTGATTTTGGAGCCATTTTTGGAAAAAACCATGGGCTATATAGCCTTGGGTATTTTTCAGAATTTTGGTGTTTTCTTAAAACGCCCGTAACTTGAAAAATATTTGTCAGAATCAGCTCAAACTTGCTACATAGCATAAGGACATCAATATACAGCAGAAAATGTAAGAAAAATTTGGGGTAATTTTGGAGCCATTTTTTGGAAAAAAACCATGGGCTATAACCTTATTGTAGAATTTTTGTACTAAAGCTTTCTTCCTCCAATTTTTTAGGAAGCTGGTGCTGATGCTCTTGAATTGAATCTATCCTGCCCTCATGGTATGGGAGAGAGGGGAATGGGACTAGCTTGTGGCCAAGACCCGGAACTTGTCACTGAAATTTGTCGCTGGGTCCGGGAAGCAGTCAAAATTCCTTTCTTTGCAAAGATGACACCAAATGTGACAGATATTGTTGACATTGCAAGAGCCTCTCAGAAAGGTGATTAAGATGGAAATAAAAATAGAATTTTATACATGTATTACATCTACATGTACGTTTAATTGTGTAATTTTATTAAGTTTATCAATGGACGAAACCAAAAGTAAAAGTGACATAACAAGTTTAATAGTGTCATCAAATAATAGAGTACACACAATTAAAATGGTAATTATAATTGTGGGCGTATATTGTAGGTGGAGCCACAGGTGTAACAGCTATCAATACAGTATCTGGTCTAATGGGTGTTAAAGCTAACGGTATCCCATGGCCGGCAGTCGGTAACGAAAACAGGACAACATACGGTGGCGTTTCCGGTAATGCCATTCGACCGATTGCTCTTAGAGACGTGTCAGCCATAGCCAGGGCCCTACCAGGGTTTCCTATACTAGCAGCTGGGGGTATTGACTCTGCTGAGGCCGGGCTTCAGTTCTTGCACTGTGGAGCTACTTTATTACAAGTAACTGGAGCAATGAGACTTAAATATAACATTTAAAAACTCTCCCTCCCTCTCTCTCTCTCTCTCTCTCTCCAGGTTTGTAGTGCTATCCACAATCAAGAGTACACACTGATAGATGACTATGTTACTGGACTAAAGGCCTTGCTCTACCTACAAGTAATGCCTATAATCCTCTTATCATATTCTTTATATTTATTCTCATTTTAGTCTGTCAGTGAATTAGGTGATTGGGATGGTCAGTGCCCACCAACCGCAAAGCATCAAAAAGGGAAAGTCATTACTCCAAAAATAACAGAAATTATTGGAAAAGTACATAAATAATTCTCCGATTAAAATATGCCTTTTGCATTAATTAATTAATTAATTAATAACAGGAGCATAACTTATTAAAATATAAATTTTTTTTATGCATAATGTTTTTAATGATAGAGTTTACCCGAGTTTGGCCCATATCTTAAAGAGAAGGACCAATTGATTTCCGACTACAAGAAATCAATTACTCCACTGACTGAGTTCAGCCCTGAGACTCACAGACCTTCGTATAAGCCAAGCAAGCCTGTACCAGCTGTTAAAGTAAGACCAGGTTTATCTAAAAATAGAACAATTTAATTCTAATTTTAGTAACATAGAATATACACATACATGCACTTAAAAGTTGAAAATGATGCATTAATTATAGCTGTAGTAGCCGTTAATTTTTTTAATTTTTAGGATGTTATAGGCCGTGTTTTACCAATGATTGGTGCTTGGGGTGAGCTGGACACAAAGCAACAAGCTGTTGCTCTTATTGATGAAGACATGTGCATCAACTGTGGAAAGTGTTATATGGTTTGCAATGACTCTGGATACCAGGTGAAAGAGAGAGAGGGAGAGAGAGAGAGGTGGGGAGAGAGAGGGAGAGAGAGAGAGAGGGAGAGAGAGAGAGAGGGAGAGAGAGAGAGAGGGAGAGAGAGAGAGAGGGAGAGAGAGAGAGAGAGAGAGAGAGAGAGGGAGAGAGAGAGAGGGAGAGAGAGAGAGCAGGATACTAAACAGCACACTTCATGAGCTGATAATCACTGCACTATAGTGCATGGCTTTTGGAGCAACTTTAAAAATTCATAAAAAAATCCAATTTGATCAGAATCAGCTCAAAATGGAAAATTCTCTCCTAGCTATTTTTTTAAATACCATAGATCAGGCAAGAAGCTAGACACTATACCAAAATCTTGTGGTAAACCCTAAAAGAGAGAGAGAGAGAGAGAGAGTCTAACATAATTTGATACAATATTCATATATGCTAAATTAGGCCATTACATTTGATAAAGACACTCACCTACCCCACATTACAGAAGACTGCACTGGTTGTACACTGTGTGTCAGTGTCTGTCCAATTATTGATTGCATTACTATGGTACCAAGGACAACTCCCTATCAAC